GGTGGTGTTGGGGGCAGCTACTGCGGCCACCCCCTGGACCGCAGAGGGAGGCTCCTGGGAGGGGCGCTCAAGAGCTGGTTCTTTCCGTCCTGGGCTCTTCTCCTTGGGAGACTCTCCCTTGCGAGAGTTGGCTTTCAGTTCGGCCACAAGCACGTCAAAGTCCTTGGTCCTGCCTGGGACCTCCCTGCGTTGGTGCACTGAGTGGATCTAGAACAGAGCAGGGTAGGGGAGGAGGGAAGTGTAATTTGAGCAGGATTGAGGGGTATACGGCTTCTCAGTGTGTGTGTGTGTGTGTGTGTGTGTGTGTGTGTGTGTTGGGTGGGGGTGTTTGTGTGTCCATTTTACTCTCCGCTGGGTAAGGAGATCCGAAGCTATCCCCTGTCTTGCTCATACCTTGTGTCCACTACGGCTAGCTTCTTCTCCCCTCCCCTGGTGTACGCCTAGCCCCATCCCTTGAACTGAGCTTCCAATAACCTCTGATTCTCCTTCCCAAGGTTCCGTGTCTGTGCTGACCCCCCATCACCGTGTAGAGGGATGGGGTTACCTTGCAGGTCAATAGGCGTGTACAGATCTTCTTGGTCTCTGGATTTATGACCCCACACTGCCTGTTGAGGTCAAACTCTTTACCTGTGGGGAAAGAGGTTCCAATGAATTCAAGTCCTTTTTTTTTGTTGTGGTTGTGGTGGGGTCCAAGGAAGAATCTGACCTCTTCCTGCCAAGGGTCCAAGAAACAGCAGGACTAAGCAGACGAGCCTCACCCTCAGGTCTGGCTATCTGCTGGGCATGAACTCCCCCAGCCCCATCCCTGGCCCAGGCACTCTTGGAAGACTAGCAGCCCAAAGCAGGGCAGCCCATACCAAGAAGCAAATGCAGCCGCAGGCATCTGAGACGCCAGGAAAACCAGCTGTGGGACGTGAGGAAGGAGATAGCGGTCAGCGGCCCAAGGTGAGAATGAGTGACTTTGCTGGCTTGGGCGCGGGGTCTCTCAGACTAGCTCAGAGACCTAGACCAGCAGAGCTTCCTGGAACAAGCAGGACAGGAAGGAGGTAAAGGGGCTTCTGTACCCTGGAAGCTGTAATGGCCAGACCTGGCCAGGGCCACTCCTTCCTGACCTCAAACCTTTCTGGCCCCCACACAAAGAAGCCCAGTGAAGTCTCCACTCTGCCTTTCTGAGCCCATGTCTATAACTACTCACGAGCCATCTTTCGGTGGGTTTTAGGAGGCAGCCTGGCTCCACTGGGCTCCTTCTCCGGGGGGCTGCCTTCGGCCCGGTGACTGGAGCCCTCACCAGGGATTAACTCGATGTTCTCTCTGCCAGGAGGTTCTTTAGGAGAGGGGGCCGTGGGGACTTTTCCAGGGGAGTCCTTGGGGAGGCCTCCTGGCTGACTGAGGAAAGCAGAGGGTGGAACCACCCTGACTCCATGTCCATCAGGCTTCGGGAGACTGGACATCTTCTCCAGATTCACCACAGGCACGAAAAGGCTACACGTGGAGAGAGGGATGGGCTGGGAGGTGGGGAGGCTGGGACTGGGGTCTGGACTCTAGCCCAGAGCCATCTCCTCCCTAGCTCTGGAACTTGGGTGGGCTCCAAGAGAGGCGTGGAAAAAAAGGGGAGCCCATGTTCCCTGGAATATATGGAAAGGAGCCGCAGATGGGGTTAGCTATTTCTTGCTATGAGCAGTATCTTGCAACCCAGGGCTGCCAACCCTTTCCTGGGTCAAGGTCAGGGCGAGTCTCTGGGGGTTTCCAGCTTCTTACCAGAGGTTGTCCTTCTGGGTCTTCTCAGGAGGCTGATGGCCACGGCTCCGGGACCCCTGGCCCTTCTCCCTGGAGGAGGTTTTGGTGGAACCTGGGGCTCTACAAGCTGGGCCCTGCCCATTCACTACATGGCATTTCTGAGAGCTGGCAGGGGCTGGAGGTGGGGGTGGGGCCCGGGCATAAAGCTTGCTGAGGGGCCCATGTCTTCTTTCTGTCACCAGGAGGTGGAGAGAGCAACTGAGGTGAGTGGTGATGACCGCCTCCTTCCCCAACCTCCTACCCAGCCCGCCAATTCTTTTACAGAATCTGAACTGCTAGAGCTTGGGTCGTGAGTTTGTCTCCTTCCCATTCAAAACTGAGCCTTTAAGATTCAAAACTCTAGACCACACTTCTGGACCCCCTTAACTCTACTGGATGTAGACGTCTGCTCAAACAACAATCCTGACACCTACAACACTCAACCTGTCCCCAACACCGCCTTCCTTTACCCCACATGACCTCCCAACCGACACTGTCCTAAGAGTTCCATGTTCCACCTTCCTGTCCCCTTATCACCTCCCTAGGGCGCCCCTCACCGCAATGCTTCTGGAAGGCTTGAGGCTTCACCACCTGGCTGCAGTGGTTACAGACAACCAAATAGAAGTCATCATGGGCAGGGCAGTGCCCGAAGATGGACATGTCTGCAAAGACAGAAGCCTTTATCACCAGGATGCAGGACTCAGGAGTTCTCTAGAGCAAAGAACACTCTCAGCCCACTACTTAGAAGGCACTCTGCCTTCCAACTGACAGACGACAGGGTTTTCTGCTGGGTGCTCCCAGCTTCCACGGTTCAGTCTAACCAGAACCAAACTGTATGGGCTTTCATGTGAGTGGGCACCAAGCACATATGATTGGGATCTCCAACACAGGTCACAGGAGCCAGGGCAACTGGCTGACTCAGACCTATCAAAAGGGGGCTCCCCCAGCAGTCTTGCTGCTTCAAGCTACCGCCCCCAGTGGAAGAGGAAAGAAAGGTGGTCCAATTTCCCCCGAGTCCCCGTCCTCTAGGTTTAGACTCCCACCTTCTTTAATGAGGGTCATGGCGTCCAACTTCTTCATGTTTTTGCTACTCTCCTCCAGTTCAGCCCCTGGAGGAGAAGCACCGCTCAGAAGGCCCATCCCCTTTCCCAGAACCCAGCAGGGCCTGCAGCCCAATGGTATGAAGCCCACACTCCCTGACAAGCACTCAGAACTGCTGGAGAAACTTGCAATGGGTCATTCACAAGTGTCTGTTTTTCCTTCACCTGCCCCTCTGAGATGAGATGACCCCACATTAAGAAGGATCATTAAAGACCCTTCACTCCCAGGTACAGTACAAGGTTCTCCTGCTGACTCGGTGGGTAACTGTGGGTAAATGCCTCTTTTCTGGGCCTTGCTTCCCCATCTAAAAGGGAAATGTCTCTACAGGTCCCTGAGTCCCTTTTTGAGACTGCTTACATGGGTCCTTTCTGCTACTCTGTGGCATCCCGGACAAGTACCCTCCCAGATCCCCACCCCCATAGCCTCATTTTGCTCCACCCAAGTTACCATAGTATCATCAAAGTTACACTCAGCTTCTCAGGTCCTGCACTGATAGGATGGCCATAGAGTAGAGAAACTGCTGCCTTTGGACCCTTTGGCATCTTCAAAGTCTCCTTGATCAGCTACGCAAGCCCCTCCCCTTCTTAGGGGGGCTTTGTCCAGGGGTTGCCCTTGTACCTCAGTGTCTGGGTTAATGACAAAAACATCTCAGCTCTGCAAAGCAGCTCTTTCCCCCATCCCCCTACCTCATTCCTCACCCCCCCTCCTCTAAGCCCCCTCCCTGTCCCTTGGGGGGAAAAAATCAATTCTGAGTCACCAAATCCGTCTGACTCCATTTCCGGTTCTCAGTGCACCTAGACCCTGACAAGGGCCCCATCTTAGCCCACTCAGCATGAGGGGGTCCAAGGGTGGCTGGCCTGTGCTCCCTTCTAGGTCAGCTCCCTAATGCTCACTAACAGAGTTGCCCCTTTCTAGGAGGAGAAGATTATTGGCGATCGTAATACCCAGACATGAGTGGCAGTGGGTTAGGCATGCAAAAGACCAGGGGCAGCTCCCACTCCTGTTAAGTCCCTTAAATGCAAGTGTGGAGAATGACAGAACAGAACTGGAAGTCAGTTGTCTCAAAAGAGAACAAGTGTCATTAGAGACTGCTCCATGAGATCTCCTCCTCCACCTCTTCGCACTTGCAAACTTCTTCAGGGGTGTGATGCTTGTTGTCACCCCGAAAGGCCACGAGGCCAGGTGTTCCCTGGGGCCCAGGAGACAAAGATCAGAAGGGGCTGCAGGCCTGCTCACCAAAGGCACTCAAGGGCCTACAGAAAATAGGGGTCAAGGGAGAGAGCCAAGGGGCAGGGCAAGAGGCCCAGGAACGGATGGAGGCATGGATGGTGGGTGGACTGACGGAGGGAGGGAGGATGGATGGATGGATAGATGGATGGATGGATGGATGGATGGATGGAGGATGGATGAACTAAAGCAGAGGGGGGCGGGGGTTCACGAATACTGCAGCAGGCAGGGAAACGTGGAAAACAGCTAAGGTGCGGGGCAAAAGGCGAAGGATCAAGGGGGTGATCAGGGGGGCACAGACGTGGGGTGCGTGGGAAACACGTGGAGAGGACTGTTACAGATGGGTAGCGCCGGAGCAGGTGCAGGACGGATGGAAGCTGGAGGCCAGCGCACAAGAAGAAAGATAAAGGCAAGTAAAGTGAGGGGCAGGTACTGTGCACCCGCAGAGACAGAGGTGGGCAGGGGTGGGCGGCAAGCGATGAGCCGGCGCTAGGACCCGGGAGGCGCGAAGGTGGCTGAGCAGGCGGGCACTAGGACCCGGCGGGTCCTTTGTTTGGGGGGCCGGGGAGCCGGACGGCGGCTCTCGTCGGCGGCTCCCCTCAGCTGGAGGGGGCCCTGGGGGGGGAGGGGAGGCAGTGATGGGGTCCCCGGACTCTAGGGTGGCTGTACTCACCATCCGCCGCAGGCAGGTCGGCCCGTTCCACCCACGAGCTCCAGCTCTGTCCCGCGAAGTCATCGAGACTCGGCACCCGCCGCTCCAGAGCGGCCATTGCTGCCACCGCGCGTTCACGCACCGCCATCACCGCCGCGGACGCGCGCCCGCCCCGGCGCCGCCGCCGCGCGGCCCCCTCCCCCCCCCAACCCTCCCCCGACCGGGGGCACGCCTCCCTCTCCCCCTACCTTGCCAGTTCACTCTCTGCGCAAGCGCAGTGTGGGTCTCCTGCCACCACCTCCTTACTCCCCCCCCCCGCACAGCTTTCTGGGAAGTGTAGTTGCGGAGGGGTGGTGATGCCTCCGGCGCTAGCCGAGGGATCCCTTCCAAAATGCACAATCGCACGCGGGGAAGGAGAGATCAAAACCTCGGGATCCCCTCTTCCAGCCCCTCCGCGCGCATTCTTTGCGCCACCAGTCCGCTCTCTCCCAAGCTGACTATGCACACCCGAGCCCCCAAACCTCTCTCTGCCCAAGATAACCCTCTAAAGCCGTGCATCCGCCAGCTGGCTGGCGCCCCTTCCTGGGCTGGCGGCCACGAAGCGACTCTGCTCCCCTGTAGATCGAATGGGGTAGGTGCAGGGAGGTGGGCGCAGTGAATCAGAAGGGCAAGGGGAGGGAGTCTGCAGGACGTGCTGAAGGACACAGGGGTTGGAGTGGGGGAGGGCCCCAGCTCCTGTGCTGTTCCTCTGTGGGAAACCCACGCTGCCTTGATGCAGAACGGAGGGTTGGAGGTGCTGTTGTCTGGGTTTGGGAGGACCTGGCTGAGCTTGCCAAGATCACCTGTCAGTATGACAGAAGGCTATCTCGGAGCCAGAACCAGCCCCGGAACTAGGGTGGCCCCGAGGCTTCTGATGTTTGCGGTGTCTCTGATGATCCATCTCTCTCCTCCTGGGAACGAACTGCGATCGATAACCTGCACCGCCTCTTCCCAAATCCTGGCTGGACCCTGATTCCATCCATCATTTCGGCTTCTTTTTCTAATGAATATTTTCACCGCTGGAAAAGCTGCTACTGAAGCCTTGGCATAGGGAGGTTTCTCATCATATCTATCTTCCCCCCCCCCCCCCCCCGCTAAGGTCCAGAAAGTACCTTAATCACCCACCTCCTCTGCCGATAATATTTCTTCCCTCACACAAGGGACAAAAGTCTGCCTCCACCTCCTTCCCTATTCTCGTTGGAAATGAAATATTAATCCTCTTTTTCTTTCAATACCTCACACCTCACGCCATATTGCATCCCTTTGCCTAAAAGAAACCAAGTTTGGGAGCAAATAAGTCAAGGTCTGTGACTTTAAGACCGCAGACTTCCTGCTTTCCATATAAGAACCGTTTAACTCTAAGAAGAATAATATCCAAGGGCAGAAGTTGTAAGCCAAAGACTCACCCATAGGTGATCCCTAAGAGGCCCAGGAACCTGATGAGATTAAATGTAAAACTGTGTCCCAAGTACATTTCTCTGGGGAATGTAAATGTAATGCATGACTGTCTGAAGTAGATGGAGGTGCAGGTTTGTACAGCAGGAACCTTCTAGTAGAGAGGGAAGCATATGGCCCTCGACTCCTCCTTTGGGTCACAGATGGTAGGAGAGCAAATGGAGACAGCACTGTGGAAGCCACTATCTTTTGCCTTTTGAGTTTGATCCAAATTTGCTAATGAGTCTCAGTTTCTTTGGACTAATTGGGTGCCACCAAAAGAGTCGATGTCACCAGACGGGCTTGCCAAGAACAATTGCTCAGCCAACAGACTCGATTGCCTAGGGTGCAGAGTCGAGAGGAGTCGAGGGATGTCTTGGTAGAAATGCTGGTATTTGTCCAAGAACATAGAACAAGGGAAAAGGAGAGGAAAGAAATTCCCAGAAGTCCTCGGGTCTTGGCTCCTTTGTGGCAAATGTTCTCAGCACTGTTTATTCAAATGTGTTATAACAAGCACCAGAAAACAGCATGCAACATTCTCCCCGCATCCTTGATTTGCAATCTCAGAGACCCGTGGTCAAGATGTTGAAGGGAACTCATGTCTAAAAAAAGTCCAGGATGGGCGTCTCCACATGGTCAGAGTCTACCAGGGCAAAGGGCAAGTCCCCTGCTTGTTGGCCTCCTGCAACAGCTAGAGAAACCAGACACCTTCTCCTACTTCAGGCCTAACTAGGCAAAGCGGTGGTGCCAGCCCTGGATGGAGAGTCCTGTGAGGACAGCCCTGCCCTTGGCACTTACCCCTGCCCAGCCCCCTAGAGGTAATGAGGTGAACTGGTCTTTCCTCTTTGGGTGACCATGGAGAGAGAGGCCACAACCTAAACCAAGACTCTTCTGGCCATGAACCAGTCAGTCAGAATCTTGGTGAGGAAGAGCCTTCTCAGTCCTAGAGAGACCTCTGGGCTGAGAGTGCTCAGTGGGCATGGACATCTCCCTTTCTAAAGCAGGTGATGGGCCAGTTGCTAACTTAGGCCCCAAATGAGAACACTTTATCCATCACGTTTCAAATAAATTATAAATATAGACGCAGAATCCAAACACAGTTCGAACAGAAGCTGCTCACCGATCCCCACAGGGGCTTGCTTGAAGAAAAACGAAGGCCACCCCTTTGTCCTTTGTATCTTTAGAGCTGTAGGCAAAACTGTCGCCCTCGTCCTTAACCACGGGGACAACTTAGGATAGACAGTTCCAGATTTAGGAACACCCCCCCCCATCAACTTTTTCCCTCCTTAAATTCTTTCCCTAAAATCTAGAACAGAAAACAAAAATTCCAAATTCCTTTAATGAAGGGCTCAGGAGCATCTAGAAGTGTGTAAATGTCATACTCCCCCTCTCAAGTGGGGAATTATAACTCAAAGAAGAAGTAGATGGCCCAAAGTTAAGGGTTCTAAGCCCTGGAAACCCAATTAACCCATATCTTGATGTGGGTAGCGTTGAGGAAGATGAGGAGGCTGGAGAGGGTTGGGCCTGTCTTGAGGACAGATTAGCACAGGACACATTCATCTTTGGGATACTAAGTGGGCCAGTTGGCACTAAATTGGGAAATGGCTGGAGTCTTCCTTCTTCATCTCTCCCTGAGCAGCCCTACAGCCAGGGAAGACCAAGGGATTTTGATCTGGATAGGAAGCAGATGGTATCTATCCAGTTGGTGCCCTGAGACCTTGGGGCCCAAGGAGGGATGGAAGGAGGTGTCAGGAAGAGGAGACCACCCAAACAAATATGGAACTGGGTCCCGAAGTGAAGAAGCACCAATAGCATCGGGCTGCCCAGGATTGGGGAAGGGGTAGAGTCTGGCTACTGTATGGAAGCAAGGGAGGACTTCGAGAGATGAGGAGAGAGAACGTCTCTTTGTAAAAATGAGAAAGGAAAGGTACGAAAGATCTAGAAAAGGTGCTAGTTTGAGAAAATGAGCAGACAAGTGGGGCCATCTATCCATGTCCTGGGACTCCTGGGCACCTCAGCCTCATGATGGTCCTTTAGGCCCTCCCAATGCCCACAGGAATGAAAGGAAGGCCTGGACAGACTTAAAAAAAAAATCTTAAATGCCTCATCTCCAAAAGGTTAGGGAAGGGAGACGGGCTGTCAGGTGGAGGGTGGGGTGGGAGAAGGAAGTGGGAATATTCCTGGCCTTCTCATCTTGTTTCCTAAGTGTGAGACAAAGCCAAGCCCAAGAAGGAGAAGGGAGTTGGGGGTTTCATGAATAAGTGGAGTTTAGGGAGCTAGTGAAAGTGTTCCAGCTGAGGGAGAGGGGGAACTGAGGGCCTGGAAATCGTAGTCTGCCAGCAACTTTCCTGAGTCTCTTCCCTGAAGCTGCAACACAATGGCAACTCTGTCTGCTCCCACTGAGCCCATGTGGACCTCATGGGCCTCATGTGGACCCGAAGAGGACCCTTGGATAGGGTAATGGGTCTCCCTGCTTCACACATGGTGGGAGCTGTGGACAAACCGAGGCCAGAGAGGAGATTAGGGAACACACTGGGCTCGGGGAGGACTAGAGATAAGGCACAGAGACCAGATGACACCTCTGAGGGATGTCATCAAACCACTGCTGGGCCCTCCACGTGGGGGTCGGGAATCTGGGCAAGGCTGCCGGCTGACTTCCCCTCCCCCACCGCGCGGAGACTAGACTAGTGATGGCAAGGCAGCTTTTAGAGACCAGTGTTAGGACTCTAGTTTCCTGCCCTCGCCTGCAGCAAGCAGAGGCTCTTCCTCAGAGGCTTGAGAACACAAATTAAAGCCCAGTGAGATGCCTGAGTCCAGGCAGTGGGCAAGAGGTACTGAGTTCCTGCCATTTGCAGCTCCAGCAGGGTGAGGGATTAGGAAGCCGGTGGAGGACTGCCCAGGTTACCAATAGCTGATGCCTACGCATCCAGCGTCTCAAATCTCAAAGCCCAGAATGATAGGGGAAGGGGGTTGGAGGAGAAGGAAGGTCCTGTGGAAGCCGGAGGAGATGAAGAGGTGCTGTCCAGGCCGGGAGTCGCCAGCTGTTCACTGCTTCTCCAAGGCTCCCTGTTCTGCGGCACTCTCCTGGCTGGGGCCCTGGCCTTGGTCCTGGCCCTGTCCGTGCCACGGTGTCTCTTTGAACACAAACCAACAGTTTCCAGCCCACAGGAAGAAGTTGATAAAGCCGAAGAGCTACAAAAGAAATCGAGAGAGTTTGTGAGAATAGTCAAGGAGGAGCCGCAGGAGAAATGGGAAGAGGAAGTGCACAGAGAACTAGGTATAGAGGCAGAGTTCGAGGCCACTGTCTATCAAGGGATTCTCTGGTGAAAGTGTCTAAACTCTGTCCAGAGTACTCATCCGCACTGTAGCTTGGTCCCTAGCTGAATCCCGCCCCAGGGATGCTAAGTAAAATCAAGGAACACATGTCAGCCTGCTTGAGGTGAGAGAGGCTGGAGCTGTCCAAGGTACTCCTCCAGGGAGAGAGACTCAGGGAAGGCTTTGTTCAAACATCTGTTGTTTGTTTTCTCTGTGTACCCAGGCTGTTCTAGAACCTGTAACTCTCCTGCCTCTGCCTGACAGGCTTGGTATTACAGGTGTGTGCCACCACACCAGCTCTATTCAAATACTTTAAATGTTTTGAAAACCTTTAGTTTTTTAGTGAGGGGTAGTGGCTCACGCCTTTAATCCCAGTACTCTGGTGGTAGAGGCAGGTGGATCTCTGTGAGTTCAAGGACAGCCTGGTATATATAAGATAGTTCCAGGACATCCAGAGATACACTGAGAGACCCTGCCTCAAAATACACACACACACACACACACACACACACACACACACACACACAAAGAAAGACAAACAAACAAACAAACAAAAATAACAAAACAAAAAGCCTAACAAAAGAGTAGCTAGGGAGAAGGAACCGATGTTTGCAATTCACTTTGAAAAGCATTTTCACAAATGGATTGAGTTAACCATGGTGGTGCACACCTTTAGTCCTAGTACTTGTAAGGCAGAGACAGGCAGATCCCCATGAGTTGGAAATCAGTCTGTTTTATACAATGAGTTCCAGGCCAGCCAGGATTATATAGTAAGACTCTGTCTCAAAATAATAATAATAATAATAATAATAATAATAATAATAATAATAATATCATCATCAATAAACAAGGCATGATGGTTTACACCTGCCTAATCCTAACATTTAGGAGATTAAGGAGGGAAGATTGCGAATTTGAGACCAGTCTGAATCACACAACAGATAGGATCTCAAAACACAAATGAAAAGAAAAGCTGAGTGTAGTGGCATGAATCAGTAATCCCAGTACTTAGAAGGCTGAGGCAAGGGAATCATGAATTCAAAGGCAGCTTGGGCTATATATGTTCAAGGACAACTTGAGTTATATAGCAAGACTCTGTCTCAAAAATTGAAACAAAAATAACAATAAGGAAAGATGGGTAAATACATATAAAACAGGTACACTGAAATGTTACATTAGATGGTGACTATGTGGGCCTTCCCTGTAAAGTATTTTCAATTTTGCTGGATACGTGAAAATTTTAACAATTAAAAAAATTGGAAGATAGACTTGTGCATGGTTTCAGAAGGCTCCCTGATGCACAAGCCATTAAACATTTCAATTGTTGGCCTTAGGGAGGTCTGAAGCATTTTCTGAATGGGAATTAGGTGGCCGTGAAGACAAGAGGTCATTTGAGAAGCTTAATGCTACGGGCGGGTATTTATCAGCTTATATAGATATATCTCAACAACTGCCTGCCAGGTGAACCCACCACTGCCACCCAAACCCATTCCAGTAGGGAAGGCTAAGTGACAAGGGGCAGTTTCTCTCTCACGCTGGTCCACGCACAGCACTGAGATCAGTCACAGCCCTGAGTTCCCTCCCATGAGACACATGGCCAAAGAGGCAAGAAAGGGTAGCCTCCAGGGCAGCTAAAAGTGGGGAGGGGAGATGGTAAAGGAGCGACTCGGATTCTTCTCATCCAAAAGTGTCTTCTCAGGTCAGTATCAGATGCAGGGTTACTAGTCTAGATGTGGAGCTTATGGGCTCTGGGGACACCTCCTCTAGTCTTCTCAGAACCAGCTAGCTGGGCCAGCGGGGCTAGTATGCTTTTCCCAGACACAGGTCTCACCACAGAAAGGTTAGCTAGCCCCATCGAGGGTGTGGCCCCGGCACTGCATACTGCATCCTCTCCGTGACACACGGACATGGCTGCAGTCAGGCTGGATGGCCGTGTGGCCCCTTTGACATCAGTCAAGCCCTTGCCCCAGGCAGCTGCAGCAACCAGCCAGAAGAAGGTGAAGGAGACAGTCACACAGAAATCCTAGGAGGAGCAGAGAGGGGAGAAGACATATTCAGAATGGCCCCATGATCACCCGTCACTTTTCTTTCCTCTCGTCACACCAGAATCCTGAGGTCCCAAGACAGCTGAGGACTCTGTTCGGTGCCACCAAAGGAATGCTGCCACTCAGACTGCCATACCCCTGCCCTTAGGACTGAGGTCAGGCGATGAGCTGCCAAGGTATCTACTGGTAACCCTCCCTCCTTGCAACCCAAGTGACTCAAACTCCCTGCTCTTCCTCCCAGCTTCCCTTCGACCACCACTGTTCAAACTGTAAGTAACGAAGAAGGCAGATCCAGAAGACAATTGAGGTCTCTAAAGCCTGCTTCCCATCTTGAATGTCTGAGATACAGAGGAAGTAAAGGAAATAATACTAATAATAGACAGCTCTCATTGAGAATAACTATATGCTCTATGCTGCACATATACACATATTTTCCCCTCCTAAGACACTCGACACAAGTATCCATTACTTCATCTTTATTTTATCGCCAAGGAAATGAAGGTGTCAAGAGGCTGAGTAGTTTGTCTAATGTCACACAGCTACTATGAGCAAGTGCTAGGATTTGAACCCAGTTCGGTTAGCTCTAGACTCTGCTTTATAAAGATACTACTTTGCCTCCTCTGACTGCAAACAAACCAAGAAAGGTTGGTAGGGCAGAGGTTCCATTCCACGCATAGGTATCAGGGACTCAGAAGCCATCGCTTTTGACGTCCCCTCCATCTCTGACGTCAGCCTGCTAACATATGGCTCTTCCGTTTCTTGGTCCCATCCCTCTGGGGCTGCGCTCACTCACCACCAGTGGGAAGCGTTTGTTCTCTGTGTAGAGGTTGTGGAAGCGCAGGTAGAGGACTAGAGCAGCCATTGTATAGAAGAAAGAAAATATGCCAAGGGTCACGAAGAACTCGGCAGGGGCAGAGAAGTCTCCCATGAGGTGCATGGTTTTGGAGGTGGAGTCATCATCACAGAGAGGCATCTCATACTGGACCCGGTGCAACCTGCGGGGGGCAAGGAAGCCATGCTGAGTCAGGGCCAGCCTCTCTTGCCCTGCCCAAGAAGGGCCCCTGGGTTGGTTCTCACCCTGGGAAAGGAGTCATATAGGTAGGAACGTCTGAGGAAATCTTGTAGTCAAGACAGGAGCTGCCTCAAGATTCTACTCTTTTTTTTTCTTTCTGGTAGTACTGGGGGTTGAACATGGGTCTTACGCATGCTAGGCAAGTGCTTTACCCTAGTTCAAGATTCCATCCAAGCCCTATGTCCTCCATCAGCAGCCACACCATACCCACCCATCTGGCCAGAAATGGTCACGAATTTCTAAGTATCTCTAGGGACCTTTAAGTCATAACATATATAGTCCAACTATTTCTGATAGACAAACCACTAGACAAAACAGATCCATTCTGCCCTTAGAAACAGACAGGCGCATATTAAGTGGTGGGCAAACTAGGGTTTGAGTTACCCATTCACAGACTTGATTTAGCCCTCCCTGATTTGGCCACGTTGAACAAAATAAAGTGGGAAATACAGCTCGTTGTGTACAAGAGATCCTTAATCCAAGCTGGGGGCTGAAATGGTTTCAGACATTCTGAAAGATGAGCTCTGTCTTCATGAACTCTTCATGTCTCTTATGAACGCACATCCCCCCCTCCTTAGGCTCCCAAATACTCAGGGGTTAGTATCCACTTCCTGGTCAAGATGTACCTCCTTGTATTTGGGTGACATCACGTGAGCATTTCACATCTATTGTTTAACATCTAAACTCTAACCAGCTTCCTTCCCTCGAGCACAGAGGAATCTGCCGGGGGTTAGAGAGAGCTGTCACTGGCCCAGAATCCTACTTACCCACCCCCCCCCCGCCCCCCCCCCCCGGCCCGCCCGCCCGCCGCAACAGCTGGAGTCTCTCCGTTTGAGCTGTGGTGATCTGCCATCGCCTGAGTTTGGACTGGACCATCATAACAATGATGATATGTCTGTGTTTCACTCTGGTCAGAGTGACTGAAATGGCTAGAAGACAGAATGATCCAGATCCTGTTCTATTTTGATCTAGAGCAGCACACAGTAAATGGTCTTTGGGTCGTGTGTCCTGTGAGCAGGAACAAATGACTGACAAGAGGCTGGTAGGAGCAGGGGAGGAAGAAAAGCCCGGCTAACCTCGGGTCGGAACCAGTCCCTGCTCACCTGAAGGGGTAGCCGAACAAAACAATGATGGCGCTCACGTCCTTGGCTTCGTTGTTGCAGCGAACCATGGCTCCCGTCTCCCCGCTGTAAGAGCCGCAGGACCCGAAGGCGAAAATAGCAAAGAGCTAAGAGAAAGTGGGAGAGTCAGAAGGTCTCACCCGTCCGAGGTCAAGAACCACCCTTTGACTCCAGAGGGTGCAGGTGCTTTGTGGGCAGGGAGTACGGGTTCCTTTTATCAAGTTCCTCCTGGTAGGGACCCTCAGTGGCCATCCTTCTCTCAACTCCAAATACTGTATTCTCTGAACAAAGCAGTGGGCCTCGTGACCATGTGAAGAAGACCAACTCTGAGTGTGGTCTCAAGGGAGGGGAAGGGAGAGGAAACGGTGTCCAGACCTCTGTATTGGGCACGGCGCTGGGGACCACACATCGCTTCTTTAAGATAACGACTAACACAAAACCTCTGTAATTCTGGCTTTGGAAATGTCTGTTTCAAAGCTAGACTTTTCCCCCCCTGCAAACAAGCGATCGGACATAGATCAAGCCAGATCAGGCATGCCTGGAATGTTTTTCATTTAATTTCATTTTCATTCTCTCTCGACCAGCAGTCATGGACTCTTGCCCTTACTTTATTTCTAACTTCCAGTAGTTTCTTCCCTCACTGGAGGTATGGTGGAGGGAGGCTTCTACCGAGCCGCTTCATGGTACTGTCAGCCTGACTTTTCTTCCCCGAAAGCGTATACCCTTCCGGCCGCGGCACCCGCTGGTGAATGTTGACAGGACCTGGCTCAAGCCCAGAGGAAAGTATCGTCCACTTTCCTTATCAGCCTCTACTCTTTCCCACTGCTGTTCCTCTTTGTAACCTGCTGGTGCTGCCACTTCCCAGTGGCAAGAAGTGGGGGTGTCTCAGACCACTCACACTGTTTCCCTTTCCACCTTTCGTCACGGCTGACTGCACCTTCTGTCTTGAGTAATATGAAGTGTCCCCATCCTATGATCCTCCCGTTTCTTTCTGGAGGAACACACGCTGATTAGAACAGAAAGTAAGAAACTGCAGTCTCTTGTTCTCCCATATTGTCTGTTCAGCCCATTTCCTGTGCACCCACCTTTGGCATGATACTAATATTCTTATTAAATGATTAATATATTCTGTTAGTTGTTTGCTTCTATCTGATTATCTGTCACCCAGTCAGTGTTTTGGACATTAAACAAGAAGACGACAGAAATCTATACTCCGGACCTACATCTAATCAAGAATAGAGTTGTGCGTTATTTTTCTAATGCTGGTCGAAGTGAAAAAGAGATCTAGATGAGGAGTCAGGAAACCCAGTTTGGCCTTGTAACTCATTCGCTGGGTGGCTTGGCTCTCCGAGTCCCAGTTTCTACATTTCTAAAAGGAAGGACTTGGGGTTTATTTAAAGGCTGCTTCCAGCTCTGGAATCCTTCCACCGCCTGAAGTTAATGCTATCAGCAGAGCATGCTCTTGGCCGGGTTTACCAACAGCTGTGCTCTGCTCCTGGGTGGTATCCAGTGCTACCGCCATGCTTTGCATGGCCTGGCCTGGCCGAGCTCAATGCTGGAGCCATTGACTGCTCTCTAAAGGTCATGAGTGGCCCTGTTTTCAGTGGAGTTGTTCCAGAGGAGTGGGAGTTGTCTATACAGGCAGCGATACCCAGGAAAGCAGTGCAGCCTGCCTGCAGTGCCTACAGAGCTTCCATATCTGAGCTAAGCCCTGGAAGCTGCAGTAGGGCACTGTTAGCTCATCTTCCTGACAGAGCCAGGGACAGAGAGAAGTCACTAGACGTCTTTGTATCATCACCCTTAACATACTCAAAGCTGGCCTCTCGAGCAAAACAATGGACCTTCTCTGGCTCTTCCTCTGAGGGATTTTCTTATCTTCATTCACTCTGTGACTCTCGGACTCCTCATAGAAGTCCTTATTCCTCTTGGTTTCTAGTGCCTAGAACAGGACACAATCAGGGTGTCACATCCGAGGAAGGGCAGCATGGTTGGGTGTATTTATTATTATTATTATTAACTGTTAGTCAGTGAGTATAGGGAAACATGTACAGATTCCTGGCTTGGGGCAGTGAATACCAAGTATGGAAACTTTTCTTCCCTGGGCACTGGTGACCAGCTGCCAAAAGATGGCATTTCTCAAGTATGTACCTGTGCCAGTCACTTTAGCGCGCGCGCACACACACACACACACACACACACACACACACACACACAGATAGACAGACAGACAGACACAGACAGACAGACAGACAGACAGACAGGGGTGCTGTCCTCATGGAGCTCATGCCTTAGAGCTATACTATTCAACGGGTAGTGTCCAGCCAACTGTGGCTATTAAAATTACTTCAAATAAAATGGAACAAAAGCTAAGATCCAGTTGCTCAGTCATACCAGCCACATAGCAAGTGCTCAGTTGTCACATTCGGCAAACCACCACTCTGCTGATCAGCATGGACTACAGAACTTTCCCATCATCAATGAAAATTCTCAGTCTAAATGATGAGGTTCAGGTCTGAAAATTATGAGCCCTGCTCTGATTCTTCAAAAAGCAAAATATACTCATAACCACATTGCTGTTAATTGTTTACTCTTTTCTATTTTGATTCTCTGAAAGCTAGGAATATCTAAACATTATCTATAGTAGTTTTTTTCTTTTACTTATCAGAGTGTATGTTTATTTATTCATTTTGTGGTGCCCAGTGTTAAACAAAAGGCCTTAAGTATGCTAGACAAGCACTCTACTATAAACCTGTATCTCCAAACACAGAACACCACAATCTGTGGTGCCAGAGAGCAGAGTTAGTAGATAACAGAAAAATCTGATAGGTTCTCAGAGCAGTGGGAACAAGAGACCTCAGACATTATTAGACCAGTGGTCTCCTTTCACTTCTGGACACAGAAGCACTCCTTCCTCTGATTCAGTGATGTTCTCAAATCATATTTAGCTAATGTGAGAGCTGGGTCTCACTTCCACAGCTCCCGGTTCCTGTTCCGAGCTCCTCCTAGTTCATTCATTCATCTGAAACTAGGCATCTACCTTGTGCCCTGATGCTAGAGATATGGAGATGAGTAAGACCCTGTACCGCAGAGTTCCTACGGCTGAAGAGGAGGTCTCTTCTGTGCAGTGCATGTTACAAGGAGGAAGGTGGGCACGCTGCTCAGGACTGCAGGAGCAGAGATACCAGTCCAGCCCACTCACAGCTTCAACCCCTCTACTTTTCTGTACCAGATTGCCATAACCATGTAGGGAACTAAGCCCCAGGAACAAGAGAAGAAGAACTGGAAACTGATCTTCACACACACACACACACACACACACACACACACACACACACACACACTAATGATAATATGAAAGGTAAAAAAACAACAACAAAAACCTACTTCAGAGTTATTTGACTGCACTTGGGAGGCAGAGGCAGACAGATCTCTGTGAGTTGGAGGACAGCCTAGTCCTGTGAGTTCCAGGACAACTAGGGATATGTAGAAAAATACTGTCTCAAAAAAAAAAAAAGATAGATAGATAGATAGATGGATGGGTGGTTGGATAGACTGATGGATAGAATTGGCTGGCTGGCTTGATACAGACCTGATAAGATTCTTGAATTGGAACTGAGGTGAGATTAGTTTCTGAGTCTTTTTGTTTATTTAGTTTGGTCTGGTTTGGTAGATCTGCCTGTCTCTGCCTCCTAACTGCTTGGACTAAAGGTGTGTGTCAGTATGACCAGCTTAATTTTCAAGTCTTAAAGACACTCAAAGTCCTGACTCAAAAAAGAATCACATCATTTTCTTCTCATAAGGATTCCAGTAAAACTTTTGCCTTTGGGTAATAATAAAAAGTTTTTAATTACCATTATAATAACTAAAAGATCCGTGCTTTCTGTTTCTTCCCCAGTAAGAAGTATTTCTCACACTGGTTCCTACGTACTTTTCTGTTCGTCTGCAAAGACTCAAACAAGCCAAACTCACACCCCAAGCTTAAGGCTACCAGGTAGAGCACTGAGAGCAAATCACAGCTCCTTATGATGCTACCTTGTGAACGAAGGCCAGTTCCAAGTTATCCCCAGAGACCTGATTCACCAGCGTGAGAGGAAGAAGGTCTCTGTTTTGTACAATTCCCTTTATAAAGTTGAGGATCATAAAGTCAGAGAGGTCTTAATTCTTAGGACAGCAGTACTCAACCTGTGGGTCATGACCCCCTTGGAGGTCGCATATCAGATATCCGGCATATTAGATATTTATAGCAAAATTACAGTTACAAAATAATTTTATGTTTGCGGGGGTCACCACGACATGCGGAACAGTATCAAGGGGTTGCAACATCAGGAAGGTTGAGAACCTAAGACTTAGGGTTGGAAGAAGGTTGGACCATTGTGCTAGGAATCGCTGTGTGCTGGAAGGTTGTGAGAAAGACGGCAAGATTAAAGAAGGAAGCTTTTCAGAATCTTCCTGAGGAAAACAAATGCATGGTCTTTCCTCATTGTTTCCTCCATCCCTTGACAGTCCATCTCAACTTTCTATTAGATCCACTTGGCCAGTTTAGATAGCACTTATGTCCTGTCCCAGTTCTCTGGGTTGATCACAGTGCCTCCTTATTTCTGAATGCCAGCTCCTTTGAAGCCTTACTTTTCCTATTCAGTCCCCTCTGGTGCTCAAGTCAAAACAAGAAAGGGCAAGAGGTGAAAGAGTTCAGTCAACATTGGTCCCACTCTTGAGGCAGCAGAAAAAGTGGAAAGTCCCAGAGTTTATTTACACTTAGGACTCCCGGGCTGGTCTACAGCCAGTCAGGTCTCAGATACCCAGAGACAATCCCAAATGCACTCTTGTCCCTGAATTCCAAATTTGATGATTCCCATCCAAACCACACTTATTTAGGATTTGGTGACATCATGCTAATCCCTATCTCTGATGAATTCAAAGCTCTTTAGAACTCACTCCTCCCAGTTTCAATGGTAAGTGTTTCCCTAGCTGAGGGCACATTAATAACTTCATATAAGCCAGGCAGTGGTTGTGAATGCTTTTAAACCCAGCACTAGGGAGGCAGAGGCAGGTGAACCTGTGTGTGTGTCTACAGAGGGAGTTCCAGTACAGCCAAGGCTACACAGAGAAACCTTGTCTAGAAACACTAAGGTGGTGGTGGTGGAGGAGGAATAACTTCATATAGCATTTGGTACATGGATTGTCTAACAAAATCCTTTCTACAAGAATGCACATAATGTCCCCCAAGTCTTTATGATTTGAAAAACTGACTGCACCTGTCCACGTTTCTAATTTATGACAATCTTGGGGACTGGGTCTAAGAATAGAGAGCTTGCCAATGTTTTAAAGTACCAGTGGAACAAGACAATATTTCTGCTAGACCAAAGCAGGGGAAACTGAGGACCTGGACAGGCGAATGTTTCAAGGTCACAGGGTAAATTTAATGGCGAGCTGTAGTCTAGCATGCTGACAGATTTGATCCAAGTTCGACTAATGTTGGAAACGGATGTCCAGAGAAGTGGCTTGTCCAAGGTCACAGAGCTGAGAAAGGCAGAACTAGGCCTGCAGCCTACCACCCCACCTTCCCAGATCCGTGTTTTGTTATTCTAGCTGCCACATTTTAGTCATGCTGTGATCTTCTTCTGTCTTAATTGTTTTATTTAATCGTAGGATGGGAAACTGTTCATTCATTCATCCACTTCTTTACTCAGTTACAGGTACCCAAATTACTCCAGTGACCTCAGCTGGGAGTCTGTCCCCTGAGTCCACCTCCAGGATCATCTAGGTCCTAGAGGGTTCTGGGCAGAATGGTTTCTGTAACCCTCTTCCTTCTCTCTGGTGCCCTCCGTGGCTTTGCTCTGACTGCAAAGCGGACCTTACCCCCCCTTGTCCTCCTCACCCCGCCCGCCACTGAAGAGTGGTATGTGCAGGATCAGAGTTCTGGAAAGGTTACACCCGGGTCCTCTCGCCCGAGTGAAATGTGAGCGGCCTGGGCAAAGGCGCCCTGCACATAGAAGGTCCGAATCCAGGACTCCGCAGGCCTGGTTCCTCTCCCTCCTTCCACCGACTGCTGGAGAAGCAACCCTGGTTCTCCCCTCCCCCGCCCACCTGTCGCCACCCTTCCACCCTTCCGCAGTAGCTGGGCCCGCTGCATCTCCCCAGCCTCCTCCGGGGCCACATTGCTCCGGGTCGGCGTCACGATCCAGACTCCCGAAATAGCCCGGGGCTGGGGCCGACTCACCCACTGGAGAACTTTGATGAAGCCCAGTGGCTCCTCCAGGCGCCGCCAGCGCAGCCCCACGAGCAATCGGTCCACCTGCCGAGACAGAGCCAGCAGACGGTCAATGACGCGGGGGAGGGGGCGGGGGTCCCCCTCTACTCACACTGGGGTGCAGGGAAGGCGGAATTGGACTCAGGCAGGATATCTAGGTGGACAGGGGCTGGGTGAGAGTCCACGAGCCGGGCGCTCGGGGCGTACCTGCGGGCGCGGAGCCTTGTCCGACGTGCGGCCGGGGCTCTCCGTCGAGGACATGCTGGTGCAGTGCGGAGCAGTGTGGGGCTTCGGCTCCCTGGCTGGGAGGCTGCGTGGCGCGCGGGGGCGCTGGGGACGGCGGGCTCGCGGCCGTGGGCAGGCCGGACTCCAGGCTGGTTGGCGGGCTAGGTCGTGGGGGGCGCTGCTGCTCGCGCTCTCGGAGGCTGTGTCCGCCGCACTGCCCCGCCGGCTGCAGAAAGCCCCCGAGTCCGATTCAAACTTCTGTCAAACTCTCAGGCTGAGTCCGCAGCCGAGTCACGTGGCGTGCGGTCGCGAACCCTGCTCCCGCCCCCTGCGCTCCCCTTTTTTCCGCGCGTAGGGCGCCTTAAAGGGACCTGTGGAGCCTGCTTGCCGTCGGGCTGCCAGAAGGCTCCCGGGCTTTGTTAGAAGCCTCCAGGGAGGGTCCCCACGGAAATAGCGCAGCCACTCCAACACCAGGGCCAAGGTCAGGAACCCACCCGGGATGCGCGGACTCCTAGTGCAGCTTTCCCGGTTTTCCCGAGTTCTGTCGGAGGGTTCTTCTCCTTTTCCATACCGTAATAACTAGAGCACACAAGATCTTCCCAAGGCATCGTTAGTGCTGCTGTAATGGTGCTCCACCAGCCAGAACAGACGGGAAAAAAATGGACTATAGACTTTCACTTCGCAGTAGACATAGTTTTACTTTTTTTTTAAACAACAAACGGCATTTAGATGTTAATGAGTTTCAAAGTTACCAAATTTTAAAAAGGAAGAACTCGATCTCCTTTTAATAGCCAACACTATTTAAATGAGAATGAATCTCTAAGGATCTGTGGGCGCAGAGACTGGAGTTTGTATTGAAAACTAAGGCAAAGTTGCATTTTGATTGACTTTGAATGGGTCTCATTTTTGAAAAGCGTTCTGTGGGAGCTGAAAGCGAGCAGTCGTGAGTATTACACATTACGTTTACAAGAAGTAGAAATCTAAATAGTAAAAGGTGACAGACACCATGTAACCCAAGACTCAGAGCGAATCAATGGGCGGAGCTAGGAGGGAAGCAGCTCCCTCTTTTGCTCTTAGCTTTTATCCATCAAAGTCATTCTTTGATGATATGCCTCCACTCCCGACTTCTAGTATTTCAGCATTTCAAAGCCAATGCTTTTAAATCAAACATTCTGTTGTTGTTTATATAACTCAGCCGTTGAATAAGAGCCTTCCCAAACCCAGGCGTGAGTGGGTGGGACGAGCAGCTCAGGCTGGGCTTGAAGGAAACTTCTGCTGTGGATACAAGGAATTGCTGAGTCCACAGATAGGACCTTAATAAATCACGGGGACGGGAGAGATGCGGTGGTTCAGCAGTGAGGAACATTGCTTTCTCAGAGGACCAGGACTTGGTTCCCAGAACTCACAACCGTATGCAATTCTAGTTCTAGGCTATCCATTGCCCTAACTGGCTTGTACATACACACAGGCAAACACTCATACATAAACTAAGGATAAGCGCATCTTTAAAAACTATTCTGCTATCTTAGGTTCCCATTCTACAGTCATTTCTGTTTCATTTATTTTTATTAAACCACTATGAAGACTGAGGTGTAAATGCCCAACCACACAGATATGAAATAAAACGTATTATCATGCCCACTGACCAGTCTTGTTTGACTCAAGTCCATTGCTGTTCTATCCTGTGTTTATCAGCCTCATCTCCCCCCGCCCCCAATTATACTATATCTAGGAACAGTGTATAGATGCTACATCCTAATTTTTTCAAATCGTTTGAAACTTTGCTATTAATATCATGGTTCTTTGACTTGCTTTTGACTTGTGACAATCATCTGACCAGATACATGTAGCTTTAGCTTTGTTTTTATATTTCATTTTAGCTGTAGAGAGTTCCACCACAAACATAGTGCAGGATACTTTCCTATTCATGAGTGTTTGGGTTATTTCCAGAAGTCCACTCTTCAAACACATTGCTGTTAACTTAAAGAAAACACTGCTGTTATGTGTATTTTCTTGCATAGGTTTCTTACATAGCACTGAGTTTTCAATGTGTGTGTGTGTGTGTGTGTGTGTGTGTGTGTGTGTGTGTGTGTGTCCGTCCAAATGCGTACCTTGGTTGTAAATAGATGTTTACAGCCTGACCCATTGTATAAACTGAAACAGGGCTGACAAGAACGGCTCCAGGGGGTAAAAGCTCTTTCCAGGCAAGCATGATGACCTAAGTTTAATCCCTGGACCCCACAGCCCAAGGAGACAACAGACTCCGACAGCAGACACACAGACCAGTAATAAATACAATTGCTTTTCTTTTTCTTTTTCTTTTTTTCAAGACAGGGTTTCTTTGTGTAGCTTTGCTCCTTTCCTGGAACTCATTCTGTAGCTCAGGCTGGCCTCAAACTCACGGAGATCCACCTGCCTCTGCCACCCGAGTGCTGGGATTAAAGGTATGAGCCACCACTACCCAGCTACAATTTCATTTTATTTTATCTTATTTTAGAGACAGTATTTCTCTGTGTAACTGCCCTGGCTGTCCTGAAATTCACTTTGTAGATCAGGCTGACTGTGAACTCACAGAGATCTGCCTGGCTTTGCCTCCTAAGTGCTGGAATTAAAAGCCCATCTTATAAATACAATTTTAAAAGTAAACTGGAACAAAGATTTTGTGAAACCCATGTTTTCTATTCCATTTCATTAATTCCGTGTAAAATAAATGAAAGAATTTTAATTTAAAAAAGAAAGAAATTCTGGCTACCTACTGGCAGATTTAGGTTTAATGGATCCTAAAGTTGTTGCAATTTTTTTTTTTTTCAAAATGGTACTGTTGTAAAGTTTGTTTTTTTTTTTTTTAAAGGTTTTTACATTCACTCATGTGTGGGTCTGTTTGTGCCATATCAAATGTATGGCAGTCAGAGGACAATCTGCCGGGAGTTAGTTCTCTGCTTCTACTGTGTGGGTCCTCAGAGTAAAACTCGGGTCACCAGGCTCAGTGGCAGGTGCCTTTACCCACTGAACCATCTGTCTAGTCCACAAAATTCTGTACAAAATTAATCAAGCCTTTGAGTAAGAAGCCTGGGCCTCATTACCTTCAAGATAATGATTTATTGTTCTTTAATGGCTCATTCATAGTGGGTCTCTAGCAGCAGTTTGATAAACATGGCAATACACTTAAAATTAATCTGGCTAGATAAAATGTGAACATTTTCAACTTCAACCTTCAACAAATGTATGCACCCATGTCCACCATCATAATCATGATATATACCATTCATTTCAAAGAGTTTGCAGTCAATCTTCAGACAGTCCTCATCCTGATTTCTATCGACAAAAAAATGAAATTGGTGCCCTTCTAACTCTTTCTGGGTACTCCAGATGTTGAAGTGAGGGCGTGGTGGGTCCTCTGAAGCAAAATTATGGATTTCCCTGGGTCTCTCCGTAGGAACTTCAATACCTGTGCCGACAAGACAGGAGCCAAAAATGTGCCTATCATCTCTGTGAAGGGAATCAAGGGATGGCTGGACAGACTTCCTGTTGCCGGTGAGTGACATGGTGCTGGCCACAGTTAAGAAAAACAAACCAGGGCGGTGGTGGCACACGCCTTTAATCCTAGCACTTGAGAGGCAGAGGCAAGTGGATCTCTGTGAGTTCGAGGCCAGCCTGGTCTACAGAGCAAGATCCAGGACAGACACCAGAAGAAGAAGAAGAAAAGGAAGAAAAGGCAAACCAGGGCTAAGCATAAGGTCGATCCAGCCATGGTAACTTGACAATGAAAGTCATATAGAAAAGACGGGGTGTTCATTTTGAAGACAAATCAGGGGTCACAGTAAACATTAAAGACAAGATGAAAGGTCCAGGTGCAGAGGAGTGTGGCCCAGACTTGCAGCCAATGCAGGCAGCATTGCATGGGTTTTTAGCATCTTTGTGAAATATATTCATTAAAAATACATTTGAAATGATAAAGTACTAGTCTTATTGAAATGAACTATTGAAATAAATTTCAAGTAGAACTATATAGTTTGACCCTTTTGTATCTGGTTTCTTTCATTCGGCATAGTGTTTTCATTACTCATTCACATGATCAAATACATCAGCGCTGTGGTTATCCTTTTTGTTGCTGAATAGTATTGCACGATATTTAGTATGGTGCATCATGGCTTGTTGATGCGTTCACCTGCGGAGAGTGCATTTGGGTTGCTTCCACGTCCTTTGTTCTTATTTGTAGAACCTCTGTAGACGTTCATGTATTTTTGTGTGAGTGCAAATCTCTATCTCTAAGGCAAATACTCAGAAATGGGATTTCTAGGTCATATGTAGTGTAAGCTTAACTTTGTGTTAAACAACCAAACCCTCCCCATGGGGACTGCATCCATTCACACTGCTGGGTAGGTACTCTCATTGCTTCATCTGCTCCAGAACCTGGTAGGACTCATTACCTTAGGTTTTAACCATTTTCTAACCATAAAACTCATGTGGTTGTCTAGTTTAATTTGCATTTCCCTAGTAGCTAATAATGTTAAGTATCCTTTAATTAATTTATTTTTTCCACTTGAATATCTTCTTTGGTGAATTCTTTTGCTCAAGATTTTTACCTTTCTAAATATTCAGGCTGTGGTTCCTTATTATGAAATTTTTTTATATACTCTGGATATAAGTCCTTGAGATATGTTTAGACAGGTATAGCTGTATCTCATATGTATATGTACATACATACAATTTATGCAATATTTCTCCCAGTCTTTAGTTTGCCTTTTGCATTCTCCTAATGCTATGTATGAAGAAACAAAGATTTTCAGATTTGTTACAGCAACATATAAGTAACTATTACATCATGTAAAGTAACTATTACACACACCATGGCCAAACACATTCAAGGAAATATCATTCTCTCAGTGGTTTTGTTTGCTTATTGAGACAGAGTCTGTCTATGCTGCTAAACCTCTAGGCTGAAGTGATCTTCCTACCTCAGCCTCCCTAGCAGCTCATAGAACAGGTACATGTCACCAAGCTTGTTTTCTTTTCATTTAAACCCATTGAATTGCCCTCACAATAGATATTCTAGCAGATAGTTCATGCCTGCCTGTTAGGAGTAGAGGCACATATAATTACAGAGGGAGAGAGAGAGAGAGAGAGACTCCATTGTCAAATTTCTGCCTATCAGTTTCTCTCTTTTTAATTTAGGAAACCTAGGGACCATACAGGCCTCTTGGGCTGACCACTGTGACACCTGTAATTTCAGTGCTTGGGAGGTGAAGACAAGAAAATCATGACTT